TGTTTATAAAATAATGCAAATTTAGTATTATAATGACACCCAGAGCTTCAAACCCATCGTGAACAAATTTAAGCAGTAACTTAGGATCCGCTAGTTTAAAATTTACTTGCTATGATCACAATTAAAACTAACTGATGTAAAAAAGCTTCATACAAAACATACAGAGTGTGTGAGGATACTTTAAACTTGAAATTTCTAGTTTTGCATAATTTTGCCATTTTCTCTAGAAAAGAAAGTGTCAAGGACGGAAAATACATTTTGAGTTACTTTGAAGGCTTTATATCACTTCTGCAATGTTATCCCAAAAAACTATTTCGAGGTTTTCTTTGTCATCCATTTTTTCAGTAAGTTACGTCATAATTTGTAAACCTATAAAACAATAGGCACCTTGCATGCATTTTTTTTACTGCTGATTTCGTTAGTCAATAAAAAATAAGTCAACACATGTTTCTTTTTCTTGTTAGTCAAAAATTGACGGAGATACAACGCTTTGAAATGTACTTATTTTTCATATCCTATAACGTCACACATGCTTAATATATCTTCAGTGTGTCCACTTAAGTTCGCAGCACATGGGAAACTTTTTTATTATCGATTTTACGAAAAAAAGTTATTTCTTATAAAAGTTTCTGCTTCTTGAAAAAATAATATTAAACTACTAAAACTTGAAATAGCATGTACAGGGTGGTCGAAAAATTGAAAAATATACAGGATATTTCCTAAGTACAGGGTTATTGGTTATAAATGTCACCCCCCTCTATCTTTTTTATTTGACATTTTAGAAAAAAGTGTCCCAAATAAAAAAGTTTTATGGTTGAAACTAAATTTTTTGAAAAACTCCCTTTCGCATATACAGGGTGTTTCAGAAAGGCTAGTCGTGCTCCAACTTTCTTATTTTAAATGGAACACCCTGTATATTATTGAATATTCGGATTCTACGTAAAATTCTGTGAAGATTTCATGTATACCCTATACCTAAGTTCAACTATTTTGGAAATATTGACAGTTGAAAATTGACTTTTTTGCAACTTTGACAGGCTGTGAAACCTAAACGGTTTATCTTAGAGCACTATGTTGTATAAATCCATTGTCTGCACTTCAAAAAACAAGATTCATAAAGAGAATCTGCTTATTTTAAAGAAGAATTCTTTGAACCTAAAGATTGAATATGCAAGTCGATATGCAAGTAATGTTATTAATTTATTAGTTCATTAAAAAATGTACGGGGAGTTTCAAGAATCCATTTCTTCAAAATACTTCTAAACAATTTCAATATCATATCCAACATGGCGCCTGCGGGTGGTGATGTTTTAGATACGGACGGGAAAAAATGCAAGTACTGCAAATCCGGTGTTGAAAAAAGTTTTTTGAAGTGCAATTTATGTAATGTTTACTACCACCAATCATGTGCCCTAAGAATCTCGGGGCTAGTAGTCACTAGTGGAAGTAAAAATCTAATTAACTGTGCGACATGTGCCAAGGTCGTACGGGACACGGAGGTAAACAAAGTTGTGAATGAAGCTATTTCCGCCAAAGAAGACGAAATTCTGAACCTAAAATCGCAAATAGAAGTGTACGAGGATGAAAAAGTGAAGTATCTTGAACTTAAAAATGAACTCCAAGGAAAAATCTTCTCACTTGAAAGTATGGTTTCTCCTGCAACCACCCCACCTGTGGAAGCGAAAAGCGACGACAGGGCTCTTGAAACAGAGTTGAGGAGCTTAAGGAGCGAGTATGAAATGTCGAAGAAGTTGCTCGCATCGTTGGAGTACACAGTTGAACTCCAAAAATGCGTAATCTCAACCTTTAAAGGAATAAGTGAGGAAAACATAAACATTGCTTCCATGACCTCTCAAAACAAAGATGACGTCATTGGGGATGCTCGACAAGGGCCAGCAATATTTAGCAACACCTCTAAACCTCCGAAGCAATGGCCAACGCAAATAAGAAATAAACCAAATGTGGCAACCAGGGATGGTAATTCGACCGCACAACAACAGGCAACACTGCCAAGTTGGACAACTCAATCAGCTGAGGCGGCTGTCAATTCCATAGAGGTCAATACCAATGATATTAATAAAAATAAAAACAAACAAAGAATCGAAATTATCAACTCGAAAACCCTAAACACGGCATTGATGGAAGTTGAAACTCGCAATGCAATGCAAAATATTCAAAAATTATACACGAAAAATGAGGACGATGACCAGTGGCAGGTGCAAAGACGAAAGCGCCGACGATATGTGGTGGGCGATAATGAGACAGAAATACAAGGGGTCCCAAAATCTGTCTCACTACACGTAACTAGGCTTGACCCAAGCACAAAGCCTGAAGACCTGAGAAATATGTTAGCTAAGCACTTTCCCGAGGTAATTTGTGAGCAACATCCATCCAAACATCCCACTTGACATCTTGACACCTTCTGAGGCGCCAATATAAAGGAACAAGTTTATTTTTGTTCCTGGTGTTATAGTGGTGAGTATCTTCATGCTGCTGATAGTTTGAACTTTTCTTTGCGAAAAGCAGATTCTGAAGTATATACAAGGATGGCACTGTGAGTATTCCCAAGGAAACAAAAGCCTCCCTACAGTCATCCCTATATTTGAGGCCTGCCATCACTCTCACCACTCTTCGCTGTGCTGCAAACAATCTACAGACCCCCGCAGAGTGTCCCCAGGCCAGAATTGCATAGGATACATGCGAATGAAAAACTGCAAAATATGCCATTCTCAGAACAGGCAAAGAGACACAAGCTGATAGGTTCCGAATGACATACACGCCCTTTGTCAGTTTCTTGGCGACATGATCGATATGAGGTCCCCACTGCAGTTTTGGATCCAGTGTGACACCTAGGAACACTGCGCCCTCAAGAACATCCCCACATTCAGCAACATCCCTCATTGTGAAAATCATTCTCTTGGTCTTCTCTTTGTTCAGCAATAGCCTGTTCGACGCAAACCATGTTTCAGCCCTCGCTTGCGCGTCCATGGATCCAGCGTATGCAGAGTCCAGGGTGTCCCCAACACATGAAATAGTGGTGTCATCAGCATAGAGGGTGAAATGTTCGTTGGCGCCATTTGCTTGTAAGTCATTGATGTAAATAAGAAAGAGAATGGGACCCAAAATGGAACCCTGTGGGACACCTATATTCATCAACCTCTCTGCTGATGTCACCCCATCACGTCTCACGCTCTGGCGCCTGTTGTCAAGATAGGACTTTATCAGTTCGATGCTGCTGGGCTGAAAATTGTATGCTACAAGCTTTTGCAGGAGGATGCCATGGTCGACGCAGTCGAACGCTTTGCTAAGGTCACAAAACAAGATTGTACTATATTGCTTATCCTGAAAAGCGTCCACAATGACCGAGATGAGCTCCAAGATACCCATTACTGTACTTCTACCCTGGCGAAAACCAAATTGGTAAGGTGAGAAAAGATCACTGGATTCGAAAAATTTGGCCAGCCGCAGAGCCATGCATTTTTCAAATATTTTCGAAATGATTGGCAATAGGGATATCGGTCTGTAGTTTTCAGGTAAGTTAGCATCGCCTTTTTTAAAGATGGGAATTACCAAGGCTTTTTTCAGAATGTCCGGGAAAACATTTTCTCTAAAACCCAAATTAATAAGCTTTGTTAAAGGTATTAAAATGATGTTCTTGATGGTTTTGATAATTTTAATATTAAGACCAAAAATATCTCGGCTATTTTTCATTCTAAGGCTGTCAATAACGTCGCGCACTTCGTGATATGTTACTTGTGAGAAAATAAAAGAGACCTGAGGTGGATCAAGTCTAGCTAGATATGAGTTTGGTGGATTATCTACTTTTGGAATGCCCCCAACTACATTCTCAGCAATGCTAGAGAAAAAGTTATTGAAGTCGTTTGGTGACAAGTTAGTGACGTCTGTCGATTTCTCCGGTTTTCCCCTTTGCGCGTTAATTATTTGCCAGATGGTTTTAGTTGGATTGTTAGAGTTATGTATCAGATTGTCATTAGACTGCATTTTAGCTTGTCTGATTGCCTTTTTATAAACGGTTTTGTAGTTCTTATAATCTTGAATACTCCCATGACCGTACTGCCGACTCAGATCTCTCAGAAACATCAGTCGTTCCCGCATTGCCCTCAGCTCCTCACTGAACCAGGAAATATTATTTCCCTGGTCAGATCTGACTTTATAGGACTTTTCAGGAAATGAGTGCAGGTAGGCCTGCTCCAAGATATACATGAATTTATTAAATTTCTCGTTTGTGTCCGTGCCCTCCATGGTGACAAAGTCCCAGGACTCAGCACCCAACAACTCATGGAATGCAAATAGGCCTTGCTGAGTAATAGGCCGGCACACCTTTTTTTTTTCGCGAACTTTTGAGGTATCTTCTATTGAGAGCTCCAAGATCTGACCCCGATGATCTGAAAATACCAAGTCAACAATCCTAGCACAGCATATCTCGATTCCCGAACTGACGAACAAATTGTCTAGGCAGGAACCTTCACGAGTGGGTCCTTAGATTGTCTGCACCAAACCGAAGCCCCCAAAAAGGTCAACAAGTCTCACACAAGCAGCCTCAGAAGTATTAAAATGGACATTGAAGTCCCCCGCTATTACCACTTGTTTTGAGGAACCTAGTTTTGTAAGTAGGTCCTCAAGTACCCCTGTGAAAGTGTCAAGACATCCCGAGGGAGACCTATAAACACTTAAAATAAATACATTTAGGCTGTCAACATATACACAACATGATTCTATACATTTCTCAATATTAAAGCTTATATTTACGTCATTTGCGACTAAAAAGTCTCTGGTGAATACGGCAGTGCCGCCTCCAACTGACTCACCTCTTGAGGAGTAGCTTCTGAGTGAGTAGCCCTGTATTTTGGTCGCCTGCATCTCGTCTTTGGTTAACCAATGTTCTGTCAGACAAATGATATCTATGTCCTTGTCTGCGATAAAAGCTTCCATTTCATCCACCTTCCTTCTCAGAGAACGTACATTAATATGGAGGATTTTTATCTTCCGCTTGGATGGACTGCTGTTACCTGGTTTTGGCTCTGGATGTTCCGAAAATGGTTAATAACTGATCCTGTGGGCCACAGGCTAGGTGTCAGATATTTAATAACATCCGTCTGCGGAACTGCTAGCCGGAAGGAGCTGCAGTATTTTTGCTTTTTTGTTTTCATTTTCTCACATCGGCAGCCAGCAACAAGTAAGTTGTTTTCTTTGAGAAAATTCATAACGTCTTCGCAGGTTACCTCTGGTGCAGTTCCAGACAGGAACAGGAACGTCACTCTTGTCGCTGTTTTTAGATTGGTCGCATTTTCATTTTGCCCTTTGAGTGGCTCCGGGCGGTTTGTTTGGAAGATCGACTTTTTGTTTTTGTTTTTGTTTTTCGATCTAACCTCAACCCAGTCATCCTGATTTTCGTCAACATTGGAATTGCGCAAGCCTTCAGCTGTCATTGATTGCTTTTCGTTTTGTTGGATGAGCAGATCGGTATTATCGATAACTGCCACTTCTATTGGATTTTTGGGAATATTGACATCTTGTGCCGTACTTTCCACTTTCCCTTCTACAGCGCTAGATGGCGCGGTCTTGGTATTCTTTATTTTCTTCGAATTATGGATGCTGGCGTTGCTAGATGGCGCAGGGTGAATGTTTTGGTCTTCTTTTATAATGGAATTTTCTATTTTTTGCTCAAGAAAGACTATTTTCTCTCTGAGTAATTGGGTGTTTTCTTGCAGAATTTGGTTCTTACTCTGTAATTCTTTCACTAGTACCCTTAAAAGGTCTACTTCTGCATTCTCATCACTGTTGACAATTGTGCTCTGTTTTCTAACCTTGTCGGATTCGTGGATACACTCGGCGTTTTTCTGCTTTGATGCCTGCAGTAAACAGGCCGGATGAAAACAATTAATGCACTTTTTACATTTCACTACATCCACAACACTTTTCTTGCAATGATGGCATTTAATTACCACCTTTTTCTCGATTTTTTTAGGAGCTAAATTTTCTTCTGTCACTAAGTCGGCCATCTTTTTTTCGTTTTTCGTGTTATTGTCTCTGTTGTATATTTCCAACCAAACTCTAGTTTGGAAGTCTATAATAGTTTTTTTAATCAATTTGAATGTCTTTTAGATGACGAGCGGACAGGAGTATTGATATTGGGTGATTTTAACCTCCCTTTTTTTGAAATATGTGATAATGATAAAAACACCTTGCTTACTGAGTTCCTTAATCTCAATAATTTGAGACAGTTGAATAACATTAAAAATTTTAGGGACAGGTGCCTGGACCTGGTTTTGACGAACATGGAGATACCGCAAATCACTAGGTCTGTGCAGCCACTAGTTGCAGAGGACCCCTATCATCCTGCACTTGAATTTGGAGTTCCAACGAAGGATAAGTTGGTAAATTGTATATCCAAACAGTATGTATATGATTTCCCAAAAGGGGATTTTCTACTTCTATACAATCTTGTGAAAACCTGTGATTGGACTGAAGTACTTTCAATTACAGATGTAAATACGAGTCTCAATTTATTTTATAAAAAGGTGTATGGTCTTTTAGATAGAGCTATTCCAAAGAGACAAATCAAACATTCTTCCAGTAAAACCCGTTATCCACGGTGGTATTCCATAGATCTGATTCACAAAGTCAAGGAAAAGAATAAGCTTCATAAGCGTATATTGAGTAAGTGTGCTGATCCATCAGTGCAATTGCACTTTAGTGAATTAAGACAATGCATCAAGCTGCAGACCCAAGCAGAATACAACCTGTACAAGAATAATGTGGAACTTAACCTAAATTCAGATCCCAGTTCATTTTGGCAGTTTTTGCATGAGAAGAGCAAGAATCGAGGGATACCGGGGGAAATGAAATTTAATGAGAAATTGTACTCGGGTTCTGAGGATATAGCGATGGCTTTTGCTCTGCATTTTGAGTCAGTATATGAAAGACCCAAAGATGTAAGTAAATACATGGGGAATGTAAACGGATGTGATTTTAAATTTTCAGATGTGTCAGAGTTGAAAGTTGTAAATAGTATTAAAAGGTTGAAGCCTAAAAAATCGACAGGGCCTGATCAGATCCCTGCCTATATTTATAAAGGATTGGCTGAGTTCATAGCTCTACCGCTCAAACATATTTTCAATCTTTCTATTGGAAGTGGACAATTTCCTGATGCCTTGAAGAATGCTCAGATTACACCTATTTTCAAGAAAGGACGAAAGGACGAAATTAGGAACTATAGACCGATTTGCCTCATTAATATTTTAGCAAAAATTTTTGAAACAATACTTTATGATGATCTTTCAGACTTTCTAAAACCTAAAATTTCTAAATACCAGCATGGATTCTTAAATGATAAGTCAACAATAACAAACCTCTCTATATTCTCGGAAATGGCGGCTGAGGCGATCGCGAATAAGAGCCAGTTGGATGTCATTTACACAGATTGTGAGAAGGCTTTTGACAGGGTGAACCATGAGTTGCTGCTTTGCAAGCTTGCTGAGTTTGGGGTGTCAGAGGATGCTTACCATCTTGTGAGGTCATACCTAATAGGCAGGGTCCAGACAGTGAGGGTCGGCGCTTGCAACTCTGAGGCGTTTGTTGCAACCTCAGGTGTCCCGCAGGGTAGTAAACTGGGCCCTCTTTTCTTTTTGTGTTTCATCAATTCATTGCCCGACTGCCTGAGGGACTCTATGGGACTTCTCTTTGCTGATGACTTCAAGCTCTGTAGGATTGTTGAGCGGCAGGAGGACTGCAGAAGGCTTCAGGGTGACATGGATAGGGTGATGGACTGGTTCAACAACAACAGAATGTCCCTAAATGTTAATAAGTGTTCTGTTGTCAGCTTTACGAGACGAACAAACCCAATAGAAGAAACATACAAGATTGGTGATACTGAGCTTGATCGTCAAACAGAGGTGAAGGATTTGGGTGTCTTTTTCCAGGCCAACATGAAGTTCAATAAGCATTTTCATCATGCTGTCAATAAAGCAGTAAAAGCACTTGGCTTTGTAATCAGGAATAGTAAGAACTTTAAAATAAGTACAATTATTAACTTGTATAATGCTCTGGTGAGACCACACCTTGAATATGCATCACACATTTGGATGCCATTGGAAGCCACGCATATTGATGAAATTGAAAAAGTGCAGAAGAGATTTTTGCGGTATCTCTATGTGGTTAAAAATAATATTTACCCATATATGGTTCCTTACAGGGATATGCTTGTTAGTTTTGAGATAAAGTCATTAGTGGAAAGAAGGAATAATCAGGCTGTGATATTTTTGTTTTATATTTTAAACAACCTAAAGTATAAGGATTGTAATTTAATTAACTATGTCTCCTTAATTGTACCAAAGATTAACTTAAGAATTATGAAAAACAAGAAATACTTTGGTACTGATCCTAGTAATAATATGTCACCATTTAATCGCATGATGACAGTTGCGAACCAAGCACTTAATGAGGTCCAGGTAGATCTTTTTAATGTAACTTTCAATCAATTGAAGGCCCTTTTAAATTAGTCATATATGTTTATATTGTGTAGTCTATCTTTATTTCTGTGTTTTACACTTCGCTGTTTTAGCTTTACATGTAATTACTATTTTTGGTGTTTGTAAAGTAATGAAATAAATAAATAAATAAATATAGTGACATCCTTAAGAAAATCTGGCAAAAATCTGTAGATGTAAGGCCCCAGAAAGGAAATTGTTCTTTGGGCAATTGTATTTTTGGTTTTAATAGTTGCAACCCTCAGTTTCAACTTTTGTCGGGTATTATGTGGGTGATCAATCATATTTAGTTTGTGCCTATATCTGAATTGATATATTAACAATTTGAACATTGAAATCTACATTTGTAAAAATATATCATTAAGTAATAATTTCAGCCTACTCACAGAACTTAAATTCCAGATATCAAATTGTGAGCGCTTTTAGTTGTATAATTTACACATTACAATAACAGGTGAGTTGTAGTAATTAGTTCGAATATTATCAGTATATAAGCTCAGAGGATTTCGTGTTCTATATGTCAGAGCATAAAATTTAATTTGGTTTAACAAATAAGGAGCATTTATCATGTTATTTAATATTTTATAAAGAAATATAATTGTAGTAACTTTCCTCCTGCCTTCAAGCTAAAAATTTATTTTGAATTTTTTCAATACTATATTTATGGTTCTCATAACACGGCGCAATTTCTGACAATAAATCCATACATTTTAGATGCCCTACTTGTTATGTCATTTATATGACTTCTGAATGTAAGCTGGGTGTCCAATATAACCCCAAGATCCCGCATTTCTGCAACCCTAGCCAGTGCCCTTTTCTTTATGAAGCACGGGCGTGTAAGAGAAATTTATTAAAACAGTTTTATCTAAAATAAAACATGAGGCACCATACAAATCAAATAGGAATCAAATTTATAAAAAATATCTACTGCACTGTCTTTCCAGACGAAACTGATTCCCAAGCGGCGGCTCCTACAAAGAAATATGCCGACAAAGACGCGGCCGCTTCAAATACGCCGCCAAATACGCCACTAAAATTTCTAACCAATAAGGTATTCCTGGAGTCAACGTTGACTGTATAAAACAAACAATAAGATGCATTGTTCGCACGTGGATTCGCATCCAATGTATACGGGCACGCTCAATATATTTTTCCTAATAATAGTATAATAATTTTAACGGGCAATACGATAATTTGAAAAGACCCCAATTTTTGCCTTGTCTCATTTGAGAAACGATAGACTATACCACTAATTTCATTAATCAAATTATTTATATACAACAGAAAGAGGTCCGAGGTTGGAGCCCTGCGGAATACCTGAAGTTGCACAAAAATAATCGGAGTAGTAACCCCTGACAACAACCCGCTTTGTAAATATGACTCATAAAAAGCCACCAGATTATCATGAAAATCAAATTCATTGCACAGCTTCTCTATAAGAATGCTATGCGATATTCTGTCAAAGCCTTGGCAAAATCTGTGTATATTACGTCGACCTTGCATCTTCAATAAACTGGCAATAAACAATAATCAATTTAATTTTTCATGCAAGGTCCCTATTGTCTTCTCAATTTCTTGATATTTGCTGCCATCAACAGATCCTAAAAGAATAATTATTTCTACTTGCTAACATTTTGGACAAATTTTTACTTGCTTACAGGGTGTCCTCAAATCGTATGCTCTTTAGATTATGCCACTTACTGTATGAATTAAATACCTACCTTTATTAAATTGCGACATTCAAAGGAGACTACACATTCTCTGGGTCATTCGGAGGCACACTGTATACAAGTAAAAATTCGTCCAAAATGTAAGCAGGTAAAAAAAATTATTCTTTTAGGACTTGTTGATTGCAGCAAATATCAAGAAATTTATTTATTTATTTATTTATTTATTTATTTACGGGAAAACCCCATTAACTGTTAAAATACAATTTAAGAAAAAATATAAAGAATAAAGCATAAGTTAGGTACTATATTATAACTATAACCACATAAATAATAAATATTATTTAACTACAAAAATTAATACTACACAATAATATAAAACATATTAAGTACAGCCAAAAATCATCTTTTAAGTAAGTAGGTATTATGTAAAGTAAAAGTATGTAGGTATTATGAAAAATATCTTGTTCTTGATAATGAGTAGTTAACATATGGAAACATATGTTTATTTGTCACTCATTTGTAAAACGTCACTTATCAAGTCAAAACATAACCAGCGAAAATTGATTTTTACGAGCTACTGGCTCTACTGACTTGTAAAATTGACAGCTAAACTGTAAAAACTTTTTACAAGTCAGTAGAATTATTTATTTTTGAAAAATCGGTTTTATCACAAGAATAATTGCTTGTAGGTACCTTCTGGGAGACTTTTCTGGTGATAAACTGTTGGCTACGACTGCAGCTTCATTAATAATATCTTGTAATAAATTCATTTCTGGAAAAAAATTGCAAAATGGAAATCTGTCAAAAAACCTATTTATAACTAGAAACAACGTCTTAACAACG